CTGGGGACAGGGACACCCAGCGCCCCCCGGCCCGTCAGCAGCACCCAGTGCGGGGAGGGGCCGCAGATGAACACCTGGGCAGGTGAGGGACAGGTAAGACACCTGGGGACACCTGGGGATGGGGACAGGGACACCCAGAGACCCCCTGAGCAGCACCCAGTGGGGGAGGGGCTGCAAGTGAACACCTGGGCAGGTGAGGGACAGGTGAGACACCTGGGGACACCTGGGGACAGGTGAGACACCTGGGGACAGATGAGGGACACCTGGGGACAGGTGAGGGACACCTGGGGACAGGGACACCCAGCACCCCCCGGCCCGTCAGCAGCACCCAGTGCGGGGAGGGGCCGCAGATGAACACCTGGGCAGGTGAGGGACAGGTGAGACCCCTGGGGACAGGTGAGGGACACCTGGGACTGGGGACAGATTTGGGGTCCCTCCCTGGTTTTGAGGTCCCTCCCCCCATCAATATGGGGTCCCTCTCTGGTTTTGGGGTCCCACCCAGTGGATTTGGGGGTCCCACCCCCCAGATTTGGGGTCCCAGTGGATTTTAGGGGTCCCACCCCCAATGGATTCAGGGTCCTGGTGGATTTTGGGGGTCCCATCCCCTGGATTGGGTGTCCTGATGGATTTTGGGGTCCCACCCGCCCCGGATTTGGGGTCCCTGCCCATTTTTGGGGTCCCACCCCCCCGGATTTGGGGTCCCTGCCCATTTTTGGGGTCCCACCTGCCCGGATTTGGGGTCCCAGTGGATTTTGGGGTCCCAGCCCCAATGGATTCAGAATCCCGGTGGATTTGAGGTCCCACCCCCCCGGACTGGGGGTCCCAGTGGATTTTGGGGTCCCACCTGCCCGGATTTGGGGACCCTGCCCATTTTTGGGGTCCCAGCCCCCCCGGATTTGGGGTCCCAGTGGATTTTGGGGTCCCAGCCCCAATGGATTCAGAATCCCGGTGGATTTGGGGTCCCACCCCCCCCGGATTTGGGGTCCCTGCCCATTTTTGGGGTCCCAGCCCCCCAGATTTGGGGTCCTGGTGGATTTGGGGTCCCAGCCCGAATGGATTCAGAATCCCAGTGGATTTGGGGTCCCACCCCCCGGATTTGGGGTCCTGGTGGATTTGGGGTCCCAGCCCCAATGGATTCAGAATCCCAGTGGATTTTGGGGTCCCACCCCCCGGATTTGGGGTCCCGGGTTTCGGGGTGCCTGACCCCCGAGTAGCCGTAGATGTCGTGGAAGGGGCGGAAGCGCGCCACGCGGCCCCGGGGCCCCCCTGGCTCCTCGGGGGTCCCGCCCGGAGCCCCCCCGGCCGCCGGCCCCTCCGGCTTCTTCCGCGACGGCCTCGGCTTCTTCTCCCGAAAATTGATCCCGTGCGGCACCTGGGCGGAGGCGGGGCTGAGGGACCCCCAGATCCTGCCGGGGAGCCCCGAAAATCCCCCCAGATCCTGCCGGGGAGCCCCGAAAAATCCCCCAGATCCTCCCAGGGAGCCCCGAAAAATCCCTCCAGAGACACCCAAAAAATCCTCCCCAAATCCCCCCAAAAAATCCCCCCAGATCCTGCCAGGGAACCCCGGAAAATCCCCCAGATCCTCCCGGGGAACCCCGGAAAATCCACCCAGATCCTCCCGGGGAACCCCAGAAAATCCCCCCAGATCCTGCCGGGGAACCCCAGAAAATCCACCCAGATCCTCCCGGGGAACCCCGGAAAATCCACCCAGATCCTCCCGGGGAACCCCAGAAAATCCCCCCAGATCTTCCTGGGGAACCCCGAAAAATCCCCCCAGATCCTCCCGGGGAACCCCAGAAAATCCACCCAGATCCTCCCGGGGAGCCCCGAAAAATCCCTCCGGAGACACCCAAAAAATCCTCCCCAAATCCCCCCGAAAAATCCCCCCAGATCCTGCTGGGGAATCCCGAAAAATCCTCCCAGAGACCCTCGGAAAATCCCTCCAGTGACATCCAAAAAATCCTCCCCAAATCCCCCCGAAAAATCCCCCCAGATCCTGCTGGGGAATCCCGAAAAATCCTCCCAGAGACCCTCGGAAAATCCCTCCGGTGACACCCAAAAAATCCTCCCCAAATCCCCCCAGAGATCCCGAAAAAATCCTCCCAGAGACCCCCAAAAATCCTCCCCAAATTCCCCCTGGAGACCCCAAAAAAATCCTCCTCAAGTCCCCACAGAGACCCCCAAATACTCCCGGGGACCCCCAAAAATCCTCCC